TTGGTAAGATGGAGGGTCAGAGAAAAAGAGGAAGACCCCCAACGAGATGGATTGGCTAAGTGGCAGCATTGATGGACTCAAGTGTGGCAGCAGTAGTGAGGTTGGCCCAGGATCCGACACTGTTTTGTTCTGCTGTGCATGGGGTCGCTATGAGTCGGTTCTAACTCGATGGCACCTGACAACAACAACATGGATATAGTTGCTCAAAAAGGGGAACATATCTTTACAGCAAGGATCACTCCCACCCCCTCGGTACACAGGGTTGACAGGGATGGGCAACTAAGGCTACCCAAAATGGTGGGGGAGAGGTGGCGTAGAAAGGCAAGAAGTGACTAGCTTACAAGCTTTCAAGAGGGAGCGTAGTTACAGATGGGGCAGGGATAGTAGAATATCCACTGAATTATTTCCAGTCTGTTGGGACCAGGCTGGAGAAAGGAAATGGGGATAAGACTCTTGTGGTATAATAGTGCATAGTTTCCATCGGGACTGACTGTGAGGGTCGGAAATGTAGAGGTAGATGTTTTTTGACAAAAGGAGGAGAGTGATTGATTTTGCAGCCCAGGAGCGAATGTGCTTGGGACCATCAAGTGTGAAGAACAGAGAGTGGGACCCTACCTACAGAGGCAGTAGGGCAGGGATGGAGACAGAGATGATGACGTGGACAGATGGAGCGGCTGGGGACACTGGACTCAGGAAGGGAGAGGGGCTGTGTGCTGATGCCCAGAGGCGGGCATGTGGGGGGTGCCCTTTGGTTATTTGATGATGTATGGAGGGGATTGTAATGATTGCAATGAAATGAAATACGATAGGATGAGTGTAGCACTAATGTTTTCCCATGTAAACCCACGTAATTCCCAATAAAAACTTAAAAAAAAAAAATTAGAGAGCAGAAAAAAAAAAAAGGCATACTGATATATGATGAGTCCCTTCTCTACTAAAATTCATCTCACAACTTTGTTGCTCCTAGAATAAATACCAAAATCCTTTATGAATAATACCTACCCAAGCCCAGCAGCTTTAGCTCATACCTTTAACTCTATTTAATCTCTGTGCTCTGACCACATTACCCACCTGTCAGTTCCTTAAGCTCACAGTCCTTCTCAGAGAGTTCATATGTTATTCCTTTTGCCTGAGTTCTTCTCCTTTTTCCTTACCTTATTAAATGATCTTGTCTTATATTATCTTTTCTTAAATAAATATATTAAATTGTGATGTTAAATGGTATCAAGTCAGTTCCTTCTCATCATGACCCTGTATACGGTTTCTGAGGAGTGGCTGGTGGGTTTGAACTGCTGATGTTGCTGATAGCAGTCCAGCAGTGGCACGTTAGGATAATGCACTGGACTGCAAAGTTAGTTTGAACTTCAAGATCAGTGATTCAAACTGATAAATCCTAAACAGGGTTGCTCTGCATCAGAACCAACTCCACAGCACTTAACAACAACAGCAACATTTTCCTATAGTAACACATAAGAACCCTTAATAAGTGTATTCTGCTCTCATCTTCATAACACACTGGACTTTCAATTAGGACTAATTGGTGCTTTGTCGTATGTACACTATATAAGGGCATGGATTTTATCTATTCGACTCACAGTTATATACCTTGAGCTCAGGGCTTCACATGACAGGTAATTAATAAATACTTTGAACAGATGAAATATTTTAAAGAGGAATTGGAAAACACTAGAAAAGAAAATGGTCCTTTAATAGAATAGAATAGAACAGAGTTGACTTTTCACTTCAATTTTTAAATGTTTAGGTTTATTTAGTAATAATTTAAAATATCCATGCTAGCCTGTTCTAACATGTCTTGAAGTTGTAATAGAATGGAAGTCTGCCATGACCTTAATGATTAATCATAAGAAACTTGAAGCAGGAAGAAGGAAGTAGATGAGCAGCAAAAGCAGTAGTTCCACATCTCTTCTGAAGGGAAGAAGTTTGGAATGAGAAGGCAGAATGAGAGGATGTGTTTCCTCTTCCTCTGCTCTCACAGAGGGATGATGTGTCCACTTGAGTACCAGACTGTCCAGCATGCGTTTCTGCAGGACATGCAGCTTCTCCCAAGTCCCTGACTAACAGTGCCAAATCCTCCGAGTGGATGCCTTCAATTGAGAAACATGAACATCCAGGTCCTTTCATGGCATGAAATTTACAGTGTGCCTTGTCTCTGGGAGTGTTGGAGAATTATAGTCACAAAGACACCTTTAACAGCTTAGAACAACATCGAACAAAAATCTTAACAGTAGAAAAGAAACTTACCATTTTTTTTAAAGGCATGCTCTCGCATAGGCGTTATGGGGCGGTTCAAAATGCTATGGTCGCTGTGGGTGAGGACTTCTCTGATTAAGGGCAATCCAGTAACAATAACAGCCTTTATGTCTCCAAAACTCAGGCTACACATGTTCCCATATTTCTCCACAAGCTGAAAAATAGTTAGTCACAGTTGAATATGCACATGTCTATGTATCCAGAAGTAAAAGGAATGGGTAAGTAGTTTCAAAGTCTTGCATTAAGAGTAATTTTGTTTGTGTTTGTGCATACAAGTGCCTCCGACAAAGAAGAAATAGTCATTCAGTAGTGTACCACTATTTCTGTTGCTATAGAGCCAACCCTTTTGCCTCGATGGGCCTTAGTTTCCCACTTTAGAAAATACGGACTTTAAACACTGATTACTGTAACCTGCCCTCCTTTAAAATGTTTGACTTGTTGTCTGATGGGAGTATTTTTCTCAGTCTCTTTTCTCTTCCTCCTCTCCATTAGATTAAAATTCAATTCACGGCAGGATTAGAAATTTCTGTCTGAAATGCTCAGTAATATATCCAATAAGCATGAATTGAGTGGGCACCCATTGCATGTCCCTAGAATAAGTCACTGAGGGTATAACTGTAAATAAGCAAGGTTTCTCACCTCAACTGTCCAAGAGACAAGTGGAAGGAGGGAGGTACTTCAGCACATTGGACCCATAAAAGAAGGCTGACTTATGGTTATTTTAAACCTGGTATAGAAAACAAGTTCTTAATATATCAGGGTATGTGTTTAACTAGAAGATGAAGTTCCATTCCTTGATTTATACTAGATAATGGAAAGCTAAGAGCTGTCTTATGAAGATCAAACATATGGACTCCTGGTATGGTCCTATAGGATCAGCACTGGACTTCTAAGCACAAGGTCTGCAGTTCAAACTCAGCAGCCACTCCTCAGAAACCCTATACAGGGTCACTGTAAGTTGGAATTGAGTTGACGACACTTAACAACAACATACCTCAAGATAAAATAAAAGTCCTTATAAGTGGACCAATAAGTAACATTATGATAAATGGAAAAATGATTGAAGTTGTAAAAAATTTGATTTTACTTAGATGTAAAATTAATGGAAGCAGCAGTCAGAAAACCAAATGACATATTACACTGGACAAATCAGCTGCAAAAGATTTTGAAAGTATTAAAAAGAAAAGAGACTCTTTTGAAAGATACATATGAATCACCTCAAATGTATGTGAAAGTTGAACAATGACTAAATAGTAAGGAAGAAATAATGTATTTTAAATATGGGGTTGGTGAGCAAAGTTACATATACCATGGACTGCCAAAAGAACACACAAATATGTGGTGGAAGAAGTACAGCCAGAATGCTCCTTAGAAGTCAAGGTGGGGAGACTTCATTTCACACACTTTAGACATGTTATCAGAAGCGACCAGTCCTTGGAGAAGGACATCATGCTTTGTAAGGTGGTGGTGGTGGTTATGTGCCATGGAGTTGGTTTTGACTCATAATGACCTTGTACAGGGTTTCTGAGGCTGTAAATCTTTATGGGAGCAGAAAGCCTCAAATTCTTCCTACGGAACAGCTGGTAGTTTTGAACTACTTACTGACCCTGAGGTTAGCAGCCCGTTTTATAACGACTACGCTACCAGAGCTCCTTGCTTTGTAAAGTAGAGGGTCAATAAAAAGTAGGAAGACCCCCAATGAGGTGGATTGCCACAGTGGCAGCACCATGGACTCAAACACAGGATGGTGCAGGAGCAGGGGGTGTTTTATTCTGCTGTACACAAGGGCACTCTGAGTTGGAATCGACTTGATGGCACTTAACAACCACATTTACTGATGAAGATCAAAGAGCACAGCCTTCGGTATGGATTACATCTCAATGGCAAGAAAACAAAAATCCTTACCACTGGACCAATAAACAACATTCTTATCAATGGAGAAAAGATTGAAGTTGTCAAGGACTTCATTCTTCTTGGATTAACTATCAACACTCATGGAAGCAGCAGTCAAGAGATCAGACGACGTATTGCATTAGGCAAATCTGCTGCACAGGAACTTTTTAAAGTGTAGAAGAGCAAAGGTGTCAACTTGAAGACTAAGGTGTGCCTGACCCAAGCCATGGTATTTTCAATAACCTCATATGGATGTGAAAGCTGGGCAGCGAATAAGGACGACCATAGAAGAATTGGTACCTTTGAATTATGGTGCTGGAAGAGAATACTAAAAGTGCCATGGACTGCCAAAAGAACCAATAAATCTGTTTTGGAAGAAGTGCAGCCAGAGTGCTCCTAGAGGCCAAGATGGCCAAACTTCGACTCTCATACTTTGGACATATTGTCAGGAGGGAACAGTCACTGGAGAAGGATATCATGTTTGGTAAGATGGAGGGTCAGAGAAAAAGAGGAAGACCCCCAACAAGATGAATTGGCCAAGTGGCAGCATCGATGGACTCAAGTGTGGCAACAGTAGTGAGGTTGGCCCATGATTGGACATTGTTTTGTTCTGCTGTGCATAAGGTCGCTATGAGTTGGTGCCAACTCGATGGCACCTAATAACAACAACAACAAGGGCTGTCTTCTGAGCCATTATAAGATCTAGGCTTCAGGGCTAAAGCCAGGAATGGAGAAAAACATTCTATTTCTGGAGTTATATGTGAATCTGGGCATGTGATTCACTAGTTGTGCATTGTTGGGCAAGCTAGTTCCCATTTTTTTGAGTCTCAGTTCTCCAACTAGAAAAGGTTCTGTGTGAAAGATCGAGAGCAGCAATTAGAAAGCCACTTTGTTTTCAGTGCCTGGCACCCAGCCACTTAGTAAGTCTCTGAGAACTGAGTGGGCTTTGTGTGGATAGGCACCAATTGCAATAAAGGGTGTGTGGGAGAAGGCACGCATGCCCAAAGAGTCACAGCACTGCCTGCCTATCAAGTACCTATCATCCCTTGTCTCATTTAATGTCACAAATACCCTATGGTAGCTATGATTTCCTCCATCTTTCAGTAAAGAAATAACAAGTCAGCTTAGCCTAGGTTACAAAGCTAAAGAGTGAGGTGTGTGTGTGTGTGTGTGTTTGGTGGGAATTGGCCAGACATAATGTAAGATCTGAGCACAAAGAAATGAAATCAGATGACTCCAGGAACTTAGAGTTTAATGAGAATGAAAGAGTGAGAGACAATGTAAGAATAGATGTGTTCATAAGTCTGCACAAGTGTGCAGGTAGGTATATGCAAGTGTGAATTGGATGACAGTGAATGAATGCTCATTAATCAAAGTCCTTCTAAATCTGTCTATGCAAGAGATGACACTATTCAAGCAGACACAACCTCTGTCTACTTCTTATCTACCTGGGTGTGTCTAGCTGCAAGTGGTGGCATCAAACAGAAGGGCTCCATTCCCTCTAGGTGGCTCTGTCCTTCTTCCCAGTCACTATATACTTGCATTTCATCATGGCATCCATACAGCCCTGTACTTGCATCATCCCCCTCAGGGAAAATACAAGGGATTCTGTCTCATATCACCACCTTGTTCCTGCATTAAAGACTAATTCAAGATTCAGTCCTCCTGTTATTCGTTTGCGCCCAGCTTCTATCAAGCTCCATTCATCTCTACTACAGTATGCCCGATCTTGCTAGTAGGGGCAGTGTCAAGATTCAGCCTCAAGTAGGTGTGCCTCCAAAGTACAGGTCTTTGTTCCTAAGAAATGATTTATATATAAAGTATAAATCAAACAGACTTTTGAGTTCATTTTGCTCAGTGCTTAGGTGAACTTTCTGATGCCACTGAGTTGCTTCAGACTCACAGCGACCCTTTATAAAATTTACGAGGAGCGGCTGGTGAGGTTGAACTTCAGAACCTGTGGTTCAAACTGACTTTGCAGTTCAGTGAATTAACCCACAGCACCACACCAGGACTCCAGGTAAACTTCTTAGGTCTTGCCCAATGACTTATTTACTTGTTTAGAACATTTTCAACAGGGTGTTTATAGCATAAGTGAAAAAACTTCAGATTAAATGACTCCTAACTGACAATGTGTAATAAAATCTAGAGTTCAGCTTACCTCACACTCAACAAGTGTTTACAGAAATGAACTTCCCTAGAGTTCCATGTAAACTAGCTCTCTACCCACGTATTTTTTAGCCTATCATAATTTAAGCAAAACATTTTCAAGGCATGATAAACTGTGCAACCATGGACAAGTTAAATTACCTCCTGAGATCCTGTTTTCATAATACTATTGATGTGGTGATTACTAACAATTCTTACATGCAAACAATGAGCCCTGAGGGCATCTGAGATGATTTCTTAAAGGAGAACATACTTTTGACTGTACCTAATTATGTGGCACTGTGGGCTAATGAGCTGGACTGCAATGTGGGTTTGAACTACAAGGTTGGTGGTTCAACTCACCAACTGCTCCTCAGAAACCTTATACAGGGTCGCTATGGGTTAGAAGCGACTAAATGGCACTTAACAACAACAATTTAAATAATTTACTAAAAAGAAAAGAAAAAAGTAGAGAGAAAGGGAGTAAAAGAAGTTGACAACAACAACAATTATTAAAAACAAAGAAAAAAGTAGAGAGAAAGAGAATAAAAGAAGTTAAAAATAAGCTGGCTAAAGTAGATTTAAAATCAGAAACAAAAGTAAAAAAGAACTGAAGTATGAACTACAAAAGATAAAAAATAAAATAGGAGCAATAGAAGATAAGGCAGCCTTAAACAAGGAATAAAAATTCTCAATATAGAATTAGCATTTTAAAAGGTAAGGGGGAGCACAATAAATATTTAAAATAAAGAAAACTTTGAAGAATTTAATAGTTTCTAAGTATAGAGTAGGTGTTTAGTAAGACAAAGATTGATAATTCTAAGAGATATAAAGTTGAGAGAGATGCCACTTAATCTAAGTTTTTAAACTTAAAGAGCCAACAGAATACTTTCACAAAGAGAAAAAAAGATAGAAAGAAAAGGATGTACCAATTCATAAGCCTACCAGCAGGGAGTGAGAGTCTAAACTCTCACCGGGACTGGGTATTCATGTATGTATGTTGTGCCTGCCCATGTGTCATTCTGATAAGCAAGAAATGTGAACCATTTTGATATTTTACTGAGGTTGAAAACCTTTCCCCAATCTTCACGTTGTATTTTTGAGCCACCTGTT